TCAAAGGATTTATCTGCTTCATGATAGTTTATGTTGCACATTTACTCTCACAAAATTTATCTCAATTTATATGATGTAGTTTGATTTGATACGAAATTTAAGAAATGTGAGAAGAGTTGCAAAGTCTCAAAATTATCCTTAGAAATAAATTATTTTATAAATAGAAAAATACACTCTTGTGGATTTTCTGTCAAATAAATGCCAACCCAATATGAATAAAATATTAATAGTATTATTAGATAGTTACCGAACTATTTACGATCAGAGGCAGATCTAGGATTTGGAGGTCGTGGGTGTCACATCGTCCAAGTAAGATAAACGGGTCGGTTCCTCCATTTTTAGATTATAATTCGGGTTATTTATCTTTTTCGATTTTTATAAACAAATTGATCAAACATGCATGTTAGTAATATTTTCTTTTAGATATTCTGAGGTTAGAGATAACTAAACAATTCAATTTTTTATTTTAAGGAATTAGAGGCCTTATTCTCTAAAACTTTGTGGTAAAAAGGATTTTCCACATTAAAAAATCGAACTTTTATAAGTTGTTGAAATATAGTAGAGAAAGAATAAAAATTATAGTTTCAACCCCGTCATCTTACTTGGTAAGAAAGTCGATGAAGATCGAAAGAACCTTTAAATTAAAAGAACTCTAACATAATAATATTCATCATTTTTAAAACTTAAAAAAGATACTATTTAAATATATTCTTAATAATATTTATGTGACGTTCATAATTCAGTTGTCATTAATTGATAAAGAATACACATGTAATACTCAAATTAAGAGATTATTAATTAGTGAAAGAGAAAGTACAAAAATTAAGAATTAGTTAGAAGCAAAAATGAGTCGATTTGAATTATTAAAGAATAGCATATAAATAAGAACCAATGGAAGAAAATAAATAAATACTAAAACCCTTCCCACATTAATAGGAAAAAAAAGATTTGAGAAGCTCTTTGAGAAAGGCAAAAAATTATTGCCCAAAGCAAGGTTCGAAACCGCATTGTGAGTGTGACAAATAACATCTTCTGCCAATTGCACGTTTCACAACTTTGTTTATTGAGTGGCAAAGTTAATATATATTGATATCTTATACGTATATACATATATATACAAAGTTTTAACCGAAATCACTAGGTGCCGTGGCACCCCATCGTTACACATAGATCCGCCCTGTTTACGACTGACTGAAAAGAAAGTGTATTGTAAAATTGACCTAGAAAAATTAAGTGCTCTATGATTCAATACAACTTGAACTATCCCCAATTTCTCTCAACTTTTGCAATTTTCACAATAACGTATGTATAGAAATACACTCTATTTAGTATTATTCTTATACACCCTATCAAATAAACCCTTTAACGATTTGTTGAGAATTATTTATTGCTTCACATTGGCAAATCAACATGTTTTCAACATTAATTATAAGCATGAGTGATATCATAATTCATGCAATATTTTACCATGTGAACTAGACAAAGTAGAAATAAAGTTGTCCATCTTTTGTTAAAATATTTAGCAAGAAATCAAATGTGAATTTCTATCCATGTTAAAGTAATTCTTGTGACAATGATGATTAGCCTAATTAAGAAACAAATAAAGTGAATTTAATCTCTTAAATGAAGGCTTTTCACACAACCAAAAGCTTAAAAGCAAAAAAAAATTAATTAAACAAGTTGGTCATTAACAAAATGTTACTTTCAACTATATAGTAACCCTACAAACAAACCAAAATGTGGACTATATACACTTTACTAATTGGAATTGCATTATTGTTGCCTTTATTCTAAATAAAAACTATCATTTTATTGCAAGGCATAGTTGTGAATTTGGCCCCCACATGATATGTTGAATTGCCCACCACCATGTGAATCCATTAGAGCAAAGCCCCTCAATGTTAAATGTCACTTCCCCTGTCCAACTTTTATATGTGATATATTATGGATTTTTACGTAATTTTTAAATATATAAATTTTATTTCAAATAATGTATTAATTTACTGTTATTAAAAATTAAAAAAAATACAAACTCTTGAAATTCTAATGATACCACGTGAATTGAGGGGGATGAAGCAATACACAACACCTCTTTTTTTTTTCTTCCTAAAACATTAAGTCCCCACCACTATCATCTTTCACTTAGGAGTGGAGTCAGATAGGATTGAAGGAGTTCATTCAAATCTTTTTAAATTTAAAAATTATATTATTTATATATGATTAAAAAATATTTTTAATATATGTATAGTAGATAATGAATCTCTAACTTCTTCGTGTGTTTACTTCTCCATATTTTAAACCTTCTTAGCAAAAATTCTGATTCCACCGATACTTTCTATCACTCTCATCATTTTCAGCGTGGGCAACAAAGCTCCCCTCCAACTTCCCAACATCATCACATGGCCTTCACACTCCATTTATAGTTTCTTTCTTACATACATCATCTTCTAAGAATTTTTTTGCCTAACGTTAGGAAACATATTTGGGAAACTAAGGCAAGTCTTTAATATTACATGCCCCTCGATTCAACTTACGATAAATTTGAGCAAGTTATTCAACGATAAGGATCGCATATTCGAGACTAAATTTAAATATTAGAGATCAAATTTATTAGTCTATTTTTCATAGTCGAAGGGTAAATTTGAGTTAGTCTATTAATGATAAGGGCATATTTAGATTAATCAAATTCAAACAAAGTGAAGAATTATTCTATTTTTCACAATTGAGGGACATTTTTGGCGCATTTTCTTATTTATAAGATGGATACTAATTTAATTACAATTTCAAGAAATATGAGAGTCAGCTATTAAAAGTTGAATCTATCAAATATTTAAATCCTGAATTCACATCAATTTTTTATCCAAAGTGGTAGATAATATTGGTAACATTACAAAGAATTGTAATAAGGAGTTGGAAACAAATGAAAAGGAAAGAAAGATGTTACATTACATCAAATATATACATGCACCACTCCCACACCACAAAAAAAAGTGTTGGAATGACATACAAAAAAGATAGATCACATTCATTGATAAATGCATGCCTAGCTATAAAGTATGTACTTTCCAACAAAGCCAACTTTTATTTTCCTCTCTTTATTGAGACATAAAATTTACAATAAATCTAAACTAAGGATTATACATGTGCCATATATTTTATAATATGCATTATTATTATATATGTCAGCATGCATGCCCTACTAGCTACTTTACTCTATATATATAACTATATTTATGAAGAAAAACTCCAACAAGAAGAAAAAAAGAAGATCAAATCAATTACTCCCCTCCCAAAATAACTAAATGCAAGAAAAGCAAGAAAAAAGTGTTATGGAAAAGAGTAGATCTTATCCACAATATTCATCTTCAAATAATTCAGGTGAATTTGGGAATTTTCAAGATGATCAAACAAATGTATACACATTTAATGGTCCAACAACAAAAGGATTTGCACCATCAAATGATCCAGAAATAAAGAGGAAGAAAAGAATTGCAGCTTATAATATGTTTACTACTGAAGGTAAAGTAAAAGCTACTGTAAGAGAGAGCTTCAAGTGGATCAAGACTAAAATTAGTGATATTCGTTATAATGTTTGAATTAATATAAAGTTTTTTCTTCAAATATGGTATTTGTTCATTTTGATGGAAATTGGTGATGGGATTTGATCAATTGTGGGCAAGTGTCATGCATGAATTGAATGATCATGTATATGAAATAATTTTAAAGCTAATTAGATGAGATTGTTAGTTTTCGATTTCTCAGATGATCAGTCAACTAATAATTATTATCTCAGAAAATGATATTTCTCCTTGATTCTAATTTTTTTCAACAAAATAATGTCTTTTTATTTATGAGATTGTGTTTTCTTTAATTTGTTAAAACATTTCATTTGGTGAGTTTCAACTGTTCCATTTTACTTTTACCTCTCACCAACATAAGAATCGAGTAAATTCGTGTCCACCTAAACTTGCTTAGGCTGATAGAAAGAAATTATCAATCTAGTATTTTATTTTATTTTTCATGTTATAACTTCATTAATTGTTTTACGATACGAGTGCCTTAAAAAGTAAATCAAATGTTAATCACCATTTAGTAAGGATTTCACTTTTCTAAAAAAAATATTATTTTTTGAGAATAATTCAATTGTACACATGTATTGTACACCCAATCGATTTCTCTGGATAGATGGGGTGTAAAATATCAAAAAACATTTAGCAGCCGTTTGGCCATAAAAATCATATATATATTATTTATTTATTTTAAATTTTTTGAAGTTGAATTATAATTTCTTTGGCTATATTTTTGTAAAGGAAAGAAGAGAACATTGTTGAAAAATATGTTACGAACTATTTTTCAAATTTGAAATTCAACTTCAAGTTTGATCTAACACTAATTTTCATGTAAAGTGAATAATTATTTCGAAAAAAAAAGGAATAATTTTGATTTGTCAAACAGGTTCATAAGATGACGATAAAGTAAAAAGAAAAAAAATGTTCATAAGATGACGATAAAGTAAAAAGAATAAACAATCTCTTGTCCCAAAAAAGAAAAAGGGCTCGATCAATGTATGGGTTGATTTCCCTTTTCTTTTTTTCAACAAATATCAATCTGGATTTATTTCTGAGATTTTTGTTTCAAGGAATTAGATGCTATAATGATAATAACAAGTTGCTTGCTTTTAGTGTTAAAAAAAAATAGTGTTTCTTGATTTTTAAATGAAAATTTGATTATACCAAATCATGAGCCAAATTTTCTTTTTTAATCTATTCCAAAAAGAATGTCATTTTCACAATTCACCAATGTAATGTATAACTTTTAATATAGGCTTTCACAATTCCACAATGTAATGTATAACTTTTAATATAGGCCTCAAGTTATTTACCCCACCTATATAAGTTGCAAACCAAACCTTAGAAGAAAATAATTAAACGATTTAACTTATGTACACCGATAGTGTGAAGATTTTTTGCACTATCAGCATAATTTAGCGTGTTGTGACTTTAGTCAGCAATGTCGTGAAGCTTATGGAATTTTTGATGATCAAGATCTCGAAAAACTTTGCTTGATTGAGACCTTTGGGCTCGACTCAATCTGTTCATCGCGTCCTTGTTGTTGTTAGTTCGGTTTCTTCTAGCATTTGGCAACGGAGGTTTATTCTTGATGTTTGTAGTGGAATTAGGATGAGATTCAGTACTTGTCGGAGAACTCTGAGGACTCTGAGATTTTTCAGTTGGCTTTGAAGTACTTGAAGATGTGCTTGTAGTAGTTGTAGTAGTAATAGTAGTACTGCTACTTCCTGGCTCTAGTAGTCTAAAGACTGTTGAAAGTCTACTCTTTATTGGCTCCTGCAACATACAATTCTTGGCATTGAAGTGTTTGATCTTAGTGTTTGATAGGAGCAAAAACTGAAAAATGTACCTCATTAGAGCCAACGTCGTCTGGTTTTGTTTCCTCTTCGTCTATTACTTTCTTTTTTCGTTCCTTTTGTGATTGAGAGCGTTGTCGAGTCTTGTGCCTGCATGAAAGGGAAACAGAATAATGAGAACATGAATGTCAAATCACTTCAATAGAGACTTAAGTTTGGGATTAGATGATTTGGGCAATGTAACAGGACATGAAACTTTATTTGCAAAGTCATTATTATTGTTTTGTTAGTGTAGTGTGTTTTGCTGCAATTTTGTATTTTTCTTCTTGTCTCCAAAAACAAGGCAGTCTTTGGGGTATCCGATTATCAGTGAAAACAAATGAAGAACTTAGCAAAACAGATTAAACTAAGCTCAAGCTTGACATATTCTTCGAAAATGGACTTGGGACCTAATTCAAACGCAAAAGCTAACTTTTGAGGTGTGGATTAAGGATTACAGTCCATAACCTCGACTTATATCTGGCTCTAACAACGCTAAACACTGAATTCTGATGTTTCAAGAAAACAATTTTGGACGTATAGACGAGCTCACTTACCTTCTCTTCTCAAGCTTTAATGCTGCCACAGGATCCTCCTTATAGACTACAGGCAGCTCAGAGAGTTCACATGCCAACGGGCTCGTACTAAAGAACTGTATTGAAACATTTTCCGAAATCAAGAGACAAAAGAACGTCATTTAACCAATCACCTCTAAATAGGATCACAAACTTGTAGTTAGGATGACATTGAATTGATATGTCAATTAACATTTACCTCATCTTGGAGAGCTGAACCTGCAGAACCGCGATTTGCAGGATTTAGCGCAAGAAGAACGCTTAAGAGCCTCCAAGAAGATGCAGGGAAGTGCCTGAAAGCTTCCTTCTTGTTAGACCTGTAGGTATATGGTGGCCTGAAGGTAGTCGAAAGTTTCGTTTTCCTCCAGTAATCCTCTGTAGGTGTACCACAGAGCTTGAATATCTTGTGCAGCTGTTCCACCTACAGCATTTTTCAACAATTATAGTATTGTAAACATTATTTAGAACATGCTGAATTAAACAGCGATTGCTAAAAATTACTTCCACCGTTTCAATTTGTCCGTCTTACTTTCCTTTTTAATCTGTTTCAAAAAGAATTCCTCTTCCTTTTTTGACAACTTCTTAATTTCAACTTTACATGACATGTGTAAGATCACAACATTCAAAAGTCTTGTTTACTTTCTTAAAACTCCTTATCAAGTCAAAACCAAACAATCAAATTGAAACAAAGGGAGTAATAGCTATTAGCTTCTTGATGATCTACTCAATCAAACATTGGAAAATTTTCAAAGTTAAGCTAGTACCTCGGTGCGACCTGGGAGAATGGGCCTGCCTGCAAACATTTCAGCCATGAGGCAGCCTGCACTCCAAAGATCAATACCTATTCCATAATCTGTAGCACCTAATAGTAGTTCTGGAGCTCTGTACCAAAGTGTGACAACTCGACTTGTAAGAGGACGTTTCTTTTCAGGATTAAAGTGATTTGCAAGTCCAAAATCAGCAATTTTTAGCATCCCATTTTTGTCAATCAACAAATTGGATCCCTTAATATCTCGGTGCAAAATACCCCTCTCGTGGCAATGCTTCAGCCCCGAGAGCAGTTGCTGCATGTAACACTTAATCTGAAAGAGGGCAAATGCTTTGAAAATCAGCAAATGCAATGGCAAACATCAAATGTTGAAAAGAATGGTGTGAAAATGTACTGCTGACCTGTGCTTCACTGAGCCTCATATCAGGCCGAGATATTATGCTAGTAAGATCAGACTGCATGTATTCGAAAACTATATAAAGACTATAATGCATTCTGGAAGTGGCCAATCCTTCAAGCTTTATGATATTTGGATGGTCCAATTTCTGCAAGATCATAATCTCTCGAGCCATGAACTTTATACTCTCTGGTTCTGAGGTATCAAAACGAACTTTCTTTAAGGCAACAATCATCCCAGTATCCCTGTCCCGCGCTCTATATACATTGCTATAAGTCCCTGAACCTACCTAAAATATCAAAAACTAACATTAAATTCAATTTAACCACTCAGCTTTGCATCCAATACACTCACAAAAAATGCAAAAAAAAAACACAAAACTCAATCTAATTTAAGCCTGATGTTTCTTAATTAAACAAGAGTATTTACTGGAAACTTCTAGTACAACAACATACCCAATGAAATTCTACAAAGTGGGGTCTAAAGAGGGTACAATGTACGTAGTCCTTACCACTATCTCTCAGAGGTAGAGAGGCTGTTTTCGAAAGACCCTCAGCTCAAGCAAATCACAGCAGTAATAAAACGGAAAAAGATAGTGGGGAGAAACATGACAACTAATAGCACAGCAGTGCGGTGCATATATGCAAAGGAACCGTAACAAGAAGTCAATAACAACAAAGTGCGATCACCTAAACATTGTTAAACAACAGATTATATCAAATACCAAAAGCAAAAGGCTAGAGTTTAAGTTATATATTACTGAAACTTGACTAGTTATATCAGGTCATAACTCATTTTTCAGGTTAACATAACCTGACAGTGTAAAAATTCTTTCTTTATACCGTTAGTGCATAGAACATAAACTCGAAGGTTAATTCCAGCATTCCACTGTTCAAATAGATGGGAAATTATGAAGAGACATACCTTGTCAATTTTTTCATAAGAATCAGCACTTTTTGGGACTAAACCAGACAAAACTTCTCTTGGAATATTATCAACTAACCATTTTGGCCAACCATCTATTAACTCTTCCTCCTCATGTGTTGTTGTTGTTGTCTTGGTGACTTTCCTATCAACATCATTGTTCTCATTAGTTTGTTTGTTTTCTCCCTCATTTGTGATCACCAAATTGATCCTTTCATTGATAGTATCTCTGTTTGCATCACTTAATCTCCTACCAGCAGCATTTTTCTCCCTTAGTTCATGAGGCCTCTGTCCAGTAGACCTCCTTGGCCTAACATGTTCTCCTCTACCAACATATCCACTCTCTAATTTCAACTTCTCTAGTCCCCGAGGCGGCGAATGCATTGAAGGCTTTGCTTGAACACACCCCATAAGATGGAATATCTTTTCAAGTTTCTTAAATAGTTGTAATTATATTGACGACTATTAGCCTGTCTGGCCAAGCTTTGGAAATCTAAAAGTTTGAGTTGAGGCGTTTGGTCAAGTTTTTATGAATAAAATAAGTGTTTTTGAGCGATAGCAGAAGCTGAACAACATAGTGATTCCCACAAGCACTTATGGAACTTGACCACGTGCTATTGGCAAAAGTGTTTTTCAAATTGATTAGTCATACATAAACGGTTAGTTTCTAAAAGTACCACTTCAAAAAATATTTCTGACAAAAAGTAACTTTTCAAAATAAGCAGATTTTAAAAACTTAACCGAACAGACTATAAATTGTGACATAGTCAAGAAAAGGTCATGAATTGTTGATCAAATCCAGCAAAAAGAAGACATATGGAGAACAGAGAAGGAACTGGAAAAAAACTGCAGGCTGAGCTAAAAATATGAGAGTATATATAGAAAATTAGAGTAATTTTTTTTTTTATGAAAGTGACAAAAATTTAGCCGGCACTGCCGGCCATTTTCAGCACAACATTAAAATTGTCTTCATGCTGTTGTAGTCTACTCCATTAGATGGCATATTAATTTAGTTTATTAAAATAAAATGAGTTAAACACGTGTTAAATAGGTTATAAATGCTTCGAATTTAACTTATATACATTACGTCACTAATTAATAACATGAGAAATAAAATAAATCAAACTTCATGTTGAGAAAATAAAAATATTGCGACTTCACTTAACATTTCATGAGTGGTGATAAATCCTTGTTTTTTTTTCTGAATATACATTGCTTTTCTTTTTACTTTCTCCGCTTCTCCCTTTCCAATTTTAATAACTTAAATTGCAGTAAGTTTCATCACATTGTAAAAAATTTAATATTCTTTTTATTTGGCTTATTTATTACTACCATTTTTTCAAGTTACAATAATAATATATTCAGTATAATTTCACAAAAGTGTGGCTGGAAGAAGATAAAGTGTATGCAAACGACTTTAGCTTATCACTACTTTGGAGGTAGAGAGGTGTTTCCTATATTTAAACTCCAAAATCAAAGAAAATGCAGACTGAAGCAATATAGAGAAAGAAATATGCAAATGGAGAAAGTTCTGGTAAAATACTATAGATAACCTATTAAATCATCCTAATTCCTAATAATAATCATAATAAGACAAAACAATAATAGAAATGTAAAAAATCATAGATAATAACCAAACTCAATGGACAAAATAACTACGAGAGTATAACCACTACTAATAATACGGCTAATAGTATAGAAGAATAAGTGAGTCGATGCTCAACTATTTAACTAATTAACCTCCTACCTTCTTTTTTGTGTTAGCAGTGCACCAAGAGGCGGAAATCAATCTTAGTAAATTATGATACGACGCTACAGCTATTTTACTGCTGTGAGCTGTGGAAAACGATTTTTTAGCTTGTTTGGATATATATGGTTATGTTACACCTAGTCTCGTAATATATTGTATCCTATATTACTCCATATTATTTTAATATTTAGATAGATTGTATCATTTCATGTCATTATATAATATTACATATCAGTCATATAAGAATAAACTTACAAAAGAAAAACAGAATATGAAATAGATTTATAATAAAAATGTTGAGTAAAGATTAAAATAAGATAAAGGGAAAATGCATAAGTACCCCCCAACCTATGCCCGAAATTCCAGAGACACACTTATACTATATTAAGGTCCTATTACCCTCTGAACTTATTTTATAAATAATTTTCTACCCCTTTTCGGCCTATGTGGCACTATCAACCAGATAGCTTGAAAAAATTGTCAACACGCGCTGAGCCCAAAAGATAGTGCCACGTAGGCTGAAAAAGGGTAGAAAATTATTTATACAATAAGTTCGGGGATAATAGGACATTAGTATAGAATAAGTGTGTCTCTGAGATTTCGGACATAGATTGGGGATATTATGCATTTTTTCTAAGATAAATAATAAACAAAGTCAAAATAAAAAATAAGAAAAGGTAACAATGCGACTATAGCAAATAAGTCGTTATACAAAATAATTTTTTTTGTTATCAGTAATAAATTTAATGATATGCATTATAATTTAAGTAACAATTTAAATAAATATTATATTTAAAATAATGTACTTACAATCATCCAAACATAGTGATTTGAGCTAATGATGGCTACTGCCAAAAATGTGTTGTCTTTTTTCGTTCTTCCTTGCGATATAAAAAGTGTTGTCTTGAACAAGAAAAGAATTTGGTATATACTCCCCGTCTCCGCCACATTTTAGATTTTAAAACTCAAATAAGTCTATTTTTAACAGTAAGTTTTCATACTTCTAAATATTTTAAATTGTCAATTATTGTGACTTATAGTACTTTTTATGTAGTTTATAAATATATAAATTTTATTTTAAATAAATTGAAAATTTCATGCGTAAATTCTCAATCAAACTTAAACGATTTGACTATCGAAAAACGAATGCATGTCGATATTTACTCATGTCGCCAAATTGAAAAACATCTCCGAAATATTTTTTAAATTATTTTATAAAAAATAGAAAAACTTTAAATAAAGGGGAAAAGGTCCAAATTAGCCTCTAAATTTAATTTGTGAAATAATTTGGGATAAAATATTTCGAGATTGATCTTTAAGGCTACACACAAGCAAGCACGAGAGAACCGCTTCCTCTAACCAACTAAACTACAACAATTACGAGTTACTTTTTATAAGATAATAGTCAAAAACATAATGAACGGTCACTTTTTTCACATCAAAACTATCTGTTGTTCCATTTTCTTACGTGAATTATCACTCAACTAGGACTATACTGTATATAGTGCAAAGACTGGGCTCAAACAAATAAAATTTGAAAGGAAGCAATTGTATTTGTTTTACAGAAAATTACAAAGGAGAGTATCTTATGGCAGGATTTAGTGGATATGGAGGAACCTCATTCCAAGTCTAGTATCCCAAAATTTGAGAGAAGGATCTTAACTTGATCCACAAAGTCAGAACCAGTTGCATATTCTGTTAACATCCCAACAGCAAAACCAAACATTGCCCATCTGTTCAACAGACATATATAATCAGTACAATATCAAAGTAAAAAAACAGTTAACTAGTCGAATTATCAAATAAGAAACTATGTTCAAAAGCGATACACGATTATCAGTTCATAATGCTCACCCGTTTATACGTCTCTTAACAGTAAATGGAAGTGTTACTGTGCTACCACAAATCTGTTTAGTAATGTCACCAACATACTCTCGAATTTTTGTTCTTCATTCCTTGTTTTAACATAAGGAGGAGAGAGAGCCACATAAACCAACATTTCTTTTCCAACTTCTAAGCTACATTGCTTGGACTCTCAAAAGATGTTGCACATGAACTACTTTTGGAAGATTTCAAATGCATCTGGCAGTATTTTTGAAAAGTCCGAGCAACATATATAGCTTCAGAAGTATCTACGTCTCTAAAACTGTTAAGGATATGAGAGTTATTGTTGATTGATCATCATACAACTCAAAGTCTTTTTGGTATTGGAGCTGCTATTTCCTAATTCGAATTTGCAAATTATTACTATTTTTTTGGTTACTATAATTCTAACTCCAACCAGCTTGGCTGCATACCGCGTGGTTGTACATTCTATTTAGAAAAAATACACACTTCTTTACTCAATTCAGCTATCCATTCTCTTAAATTGGTTAAGAAAACAAACCCGCCTTTAAGAAATTTAAATCTCAAAGACAAAGAGCAAGGGAATACATTATACGCCACTTAGAAAGTACATCAACTACATGTATATTATGATCCTAACAAGCCAGCCAAAATGAGTTGTGTCAATTATGTCAAGGTTTTGCACTTGTCCTTAGGCAATCATCCAACGCAGCGGGCAACTTAAATCACTCGTGGAAATAGTGAAATCTTAGAAGCTTTTTTTTCGACAGGAGGACTTAAGAAGATTCAGTTGCAGGTGTTTCTGTTAGGGCTACCACAAGTATATTCTACGACAAAAAAATGTCTCTTCGATGGATTTAATGATAATCAAGTTTTAAGTCTCTCGAAAAACAAAACTTTAACTTAGACCACATAGAATGGAAACATAAATCTTTGGTTTGAGACATCTCCATCTAATAGAACTTAAACCAAATTAAAGCACCAAACTCTGCTTGTTTCGCCAACTACCATTCTAGAACAACTTAGATCAATGCTAAAATTAGTCATATAGCCAAGATTACTAAATTGTCGTAAAAACAACTTCTTATGGTTTCCGACCCAGTGTCCGGAGCCCCGACTAAATCCAGATCGCCCACTCCAGGGACTACTAGGGGTGTCACTCCCAACAAAATTCTCTCGAAACCTCTGATTAAGGGCAGATGAGTCAATCACTGCACCACAACCCATGTTGGTATCATAAAAACCTCTTAACACAGTATAAACTGGATCATTGATATTCATTAAACTGAAAAAAAGCAATTAAGGATATTACTTAAAATTAAATTAATCCGAATTCTCTCAAATTGTTAATTAATTACCTGCCATTAGAAATTTCATTCTTTCCAATAAAACCAAAGAAGGGCCCTTGATTAGCTTCTTCAAGCTTCTTCTGCTTGAAATACTCCTGAAGCTCCTTAGCCTTTTGCCTCTGGAATTCCATTGTAATTACATTTTTGCCCTCCACTGCAACCTGCTTAGGCGGAGGCGAAGAAGATGAAGGTGAAGGTGGTGATGGTGGGGTAGGTTTCACAGGGGTAGGGGGTTGTACCATAGGTCTTCTTAAAGGGCCATCAGCTTGAGAACTCCTAATGGTAAGTGTAGTAGAAAATCTGTAATTATAGGAAGTAGAAGAAGAAGATGGGTTTTGAATTTTGATGCAGGGGAAGGAAGAAGATGATGCTACTGACATTTTTTCTGTCAATTTTTTTGTGGATTGTTGAAGAAGGGGAGGGAAAGTTTTGTGGAAGAATATGGTTCAACTGTTAATCAGAAACTG